AATTTTTTAAAGCGATAAAAATAAAAATAGTATAATAAAAAGTGGTGAAAAGATTAAAATATCTGATATGTGAGAAGGGCAATTCCAAGGACACTGAGCTGTGGTACACATTCCAAATTCTACTGTACACAATGGAAATGTGATAAGCTAAGTCCCTGGGCAGTCTCTCAGCTTCCCTGGACAAAGTGCCTTCACAGAGGGTGATTAGCACCGTAGGCAGTACGGAGCAGAACTGAGCCGTTTGCAGTACAGTAATTAAAGAAAACGTGAACTTTTAGCTCACTAATCCTTAAAAGGATTCAGGGAGAGGCATTGTGGTGTGGTGGGTTCCCAACATCCCATATCAGTGTGCCACGTTCAGCTGAGTTCCAGGTACTCAGCTTCTGATCCAACTCCCTGCTGATGTGCTTGGGAGGCGGTGGGTGATGGCCCACCAGACTGGGCCCCTGCCACCTTTGTGGGAGACCCAGATGGAGATCCTGACTTCTGGCTTGGGCTGGGTCAGCCCTAGCTCCTGTAGGCATTCATAGAGTTAATCAGTGGATGGAAGATTCTCTCTCTCTCTCTCTCTCTCATATTACTCTTTCCAGTAGATGAAAATAAACAAACTTAAAAAAGAATTCATATATAAAAATCACATTTAGTTATTTCATAGAAAAATTCTCACTAGATAACCATAGCATTTCCTTTGTCAGAAAGTGAAAACCACATAATCCACGCTTCCCTTTCCACTTTATTAAAGCTGTTAAGGTCTAGTTGTACTCACTAGTTCATTGCACCTGTTAGTAACATGTTGCTGTCCCATCCTTTGTTATATGTATTTTTAAATTTAATTTAATTAATTTATTTGAAAGGCAAAGAGACAGACATTCCCTCATCTGACGGCTCACTTCCCAGATGCCCCTAATAGCAGGGAATGGGACTGGCTGAACAGGAACAGGGGACTCCATTTGGGTCTCCCACATTGGTAGCAAGGAAGCTGGAACTGGGAGTGGATCTGAGACGTGAACCCAGGGATTCCAATATGTAATCTATAAACCACCTGAAATCCTTTTGGAAACAACAGCAGTATCTAACCCAAATACATAAATCCCTAATCCTTTCAGAGGATGAACCAGAAAGTACTAGACACAGCAGGACTAATAGAAGGATACTTCATTCAATTTTCATCTCAAAATGGGAAATTGAATAACAATTTACAAGGAAAGGTTAATGACACAAGTGAAGATTAAGTTAGGTGGTCCATTATATTTGATGAAAAAACTCCTAGGCAGCATAGTATTAATCTAGCTTCATCAATCAATAAAAGGAGCTTTTCAGGCATCCACGTAATATCATTTGGCCTCTAGTTACTCTAGTGCATAAATGCTCTTTACTGGAATGATAATCAGTAGTGGCTCCGATGTGCCTTAGTTACATTCTTTTCCCCAAGAGAGCAAGGGCCAGACATCAATCCAAACAGTGTCAACGCCCTCTCGGCAGACTGGATTCAAAGAATGAAGAATGCTGACGCTGCATTGCAGCCTTCAGCAGCTACTGCACTAACTGCCTGCAATGATCCCAAAAGGCTGAGCAGGTCTCCACAGGTAACCCAAAAGAAAACGCTGAAGACGTCAGATGGGGGCCTTATACGTGCATAGCAAAATCACAATGCAAAAATCAGAACTGGCACCGTAATAAAAATCTAAGGAAAGGTATGCACAGAACAGGTGAGTAAGCTATCCGTTGGCTGCCAGGATTGCTCGCTGGGGGTGTTCATTCACCGCCATTTGGGACCTGCAGCTCTCTCGCTACATGTATTAGGCAGCACCACACTGAAGCACAGAAAGCGATCTGTTCTGAGGTGTACTCTGTAGTTACACTGTATTTGTTTCTGCTTCTTATCTGCTTTGGAAATGGACATCTACTATATGCAGGAAATGCTCCCAGAGGGTTGTCCTTGTCCCTCCCCCTCAGCAGGTGACCTGGGTCACACCCTCAGCCCCCAGTGCTACAATGAACCACAGGAAGGCACCTGGCTTCCTCCGCCTTTCAGTGATCTCTATTTATTTGGAAGAGAGTTACAGAGAGACGTAGAGACAGAGAGGTCTTCCATCCCAAGTGCCCTCTTCTACTGCTTTCCCAGGCCATAGCAGAGAGCTGGATTGGAAAAGGAGCAGCCGGGACTAGAACTGGCGGCCATATGGGATGCCGGCAATGCAGGCTGGGGCTTTAACCCACTGCACCACAGCACCTCTATTGTTTCTTAATCTATCCCTGACACCTCATCCACACCGCCCTCCATAGCTGGCTCTCCAGCCTATGACTTCCAATTACCATCTGCAGCTAGGTCTCAGCCAACAAAAGCTTACTGATGCTCCCCTTGTTCTGACCACATAGAACTTGTTCCCATCTGGGTTCCAGGGCCTCTTACTTGCACCTGCTACATTCCTGAGAGCACCTGACCTAGGAAGACCCTGCTGCGGTTTGTGGAAAGGTAAGGCCTCTGTAGTACAGAGGCAGCGATGCAGCACTTTAACGGAATGCAATTACCAGAGATTGGGAATCTAGAATGGGTTTTCCGAGACAGCCAGCAGCTGCCTCGCTTTAATCTCTCTGTGAAGAGTTAGTCTCAGACACCCTACAGCAAGCCATCAATCACCTACTGCAGAGAGAAGCTGGGGTTATCTGGGTGTAAGCTGCAGCACCAATCTCCTGCAAATGATAAGCAAACACCCCCACAGCCTGCAGCTCAGAATGAGGTTAGGCCTCATTAATTAGGAAGACTGGGGTTTCTCAATCAGTGTAAAGTCTGAATTCTAATACATTTTGAACAAAAGCACGATGCGATTATTTTGCATCCTGTGTGCTTACTCAGGCAAGGTTAACAACGTGTGAGGCTGAGGTCTCCGCTGATCTTTAATCAATAGGCGAGCGGCTGCTCTGGACTTGCTGGAAGAAGCCTGAAAATCCCTGTCATTTGTCCTCTTCAATTGCTAAAGCATCTCCGTATCTTCAACGGCACAAAGGGGACTTCCAACAGCACCCTGACATGGGCTTTCCAAATGTCCTCATTAGAAGATGTGACTTAATGAGGTTTTTATTATACTGTGAATTACAGACATAAAGCCAGAAGAATGTCTCCTGAAATGAACTCTTAGTTTTAAGATTGACATGATTGACATGCGCTGTTTATACTCGGCTTAAAGAAGTGCTTAACTGTGTCCTTTAAAATGTCAAATTAGCCCTTGGATCTGCCACAGCAAGGATTTAGTTAATGCAATGAGAAGGAAATTCTAGAATAAAACCAAGTGACTGGCACTCTCCAGTCATTTAAACCGATAAACCCAACAGGGCAGCAAATAGCTTTCATCTTACTACAGTCCCAACTCTTATTAATTTTTATAGAACTAGTGGACTTACAAGAGGAAAGGAAAAACGAGTTCCTTTAAGTTGCCCAAGGCAGAGTAGTGGAGCGCTTGAGCTTTGGAGCTGCACTTCTGCCTCCTGCCCCTTCTGACCTCCTCTCCGGGATCCCGGGGCAGCCCCTTACCTCTCAGCCTCCGTTTCCTCTTTGGTAAAACAGGGATGACACTTCTCTCCAAGGCAGGAAAATGAGGTCACACGCTTAGCCCGGCATCTCGCAACCAGTAACTCCTTCAAAAAGGCTCTGACATTTACTGCTGCTACCCCCGCCACCCGCCCCAGCTATGATGGGTTCTATGCCCCGTCAGTCCCACTTCTCATCTACCAAGTGAGACTCTCACAAAGCAATACTTCAGATGTCATGTTCACAACAGCACCGCTGTGGCCGCTGATGCCAGGGACTTTGCACACACCACCTCTCAGTTCTCACGGCGACTCCAGGATGGAGACGGGGATGCTATTTTAGCATGAGTATTTACTGCTTAATCTCATCACTCCTACTAACTCATCTTCTAAACGAGGAAACTGACACAGAAAAGTTAAAGCCAAAAATTTGAACGCGCAGGGTCTAAATCCCAAACCCAGACTTCTAGCTCTTCACTCCACTTCCAATGTCCTATTTATCTATGACAAAGTTTCATTCATCCACCCATCCGTCCATCAGTTCATTCATTTAAAAGGCAGAGAGACAGGGAGATCTCTCATCTGTTGGTTCATTCCCCAAATGCTTGCAACAGCCAGGCTAGGCCAGGCTGAAGCCAGGAGCCAGAAACTCCATCTGGTCTTCCACATGTGTGGCAGGGACCCAGTCACTTCAGGCATCACTGCTGCCTGCCGGGGTGTACACAGCATGAAGTTGGAATTGGGAGCAGAGCTGGGACTTGAACTCAGTTACTCTGATATGAGATGTGGATGTCCCAAGTGGCATATTAACCACTGTGGCAAATGCCTGTCCCTGAGAACACTTCTGATAACCATCACTTCTGATAACTCATCACTAGACTAGATTTCTATTCAGAATAGTGTGGCTGGGTTTGAATGTCCAAGTGTTGCCATGTGGTGGTACATAGGTCACTGCTATTTCTTCCTCCAGTGAATATGAGCTTACTCAGGGGCCGGAATTCTGTTACTAATTATGGAAGCTTGTAGGGGACAGAAGATAAAAATCAGAAGACATTCTCTGTTATTTTCTTTCTTAAGTTTGAGCCTTATCTGGATATTCCAACACATTCCCACTTGTAAGGTTATGATCTTGCCCTCCAGAGCACCAGGAAGGCCATCTGATCAACTGCTGACAGTCACAGAAATTTCAACAGAAAGAACCATTTGTGGTTACCACACCTTGGATAGATGCACTTGCGTTTTTTATCACACAGCCCACCCAGCACTCCTGACCTTGCTTCTCTGTTCAGTTAGGAAACAAGCCACCTATGGAAAAAGGAAGACAATGCCCTCGGATAGGCAGAAAAGCATAGCTTTCCCTGGCTGGACGTGGACTCTCGGAGCTCACATGTCCCTGCCTGCTCCTCACGTGGGGATATGAGAGTTGACAAGCATTTCAAATGCTTTCAAGGCACGACATACTGTGCTCTTACCCTTGCAGTGAAATCCACAGCAGCCGCTCGGTTTAACAGCAACGTGGCTACGTTGATATTCCCATAGTGAGCAGCTATGTGGAGCGGAGTGAAGCCACTCTGTAAAGAAAACACAGCAGATGCTCAATTGATTCCCTCGTCCGACAGGTTAATATCACGACTCTACCCAAATAAAAATGAGGAAGCAAAATAGGTTGAGATCCACATTCCATTCTGTCCTAGATTTCGATCAGTGCCAATTGCTCATAGGCAAAAGACTAGCCAGGGAAGAACCAAGGGTGAAGACTGAACCATTGTAGTAATCCAGAACTACAGAGGCCAACGTTTGGAAAAGTCAACATACGGGTGACGAGAAGAAGCTTTGTAGCTCATAGCAAGCGTGATTAGTGCCACTCTTTTGATATTAATAGAATCGCCCACTGAAACTCTATCAAATTCAATTTGTGTTACTTAGCAGATTCAAGTTAACCAATAGCCAATGCCAATTTTGAGGACAAAAGAATTGTTTTGGGAAGAGGTACTGCCATAAAATAGATTTTGTATAACGGGCAACTGTATTCCATAAAGGCTCCATGAGTTCATCTCTTCATTAGCAAATGCCTGTTCAGTAACACATTTTGGGGGATCATTTCTACCACAGTCATTTTACTTCCTTAAAAATTGCTAAACATGCAGCGATTCATTTAGTCCCCAAAGATTGAAACCTTATGGAACTAGATGCGTTTCGAGGTTGTTAGCAAGCTTCTTAGCCATGCTAGCTCTCTCATCGAGTCTTGTGGAGGGGAGGTCGTGTTGGCACCACTTCGAGTTCACCTTCCTCTTGCTGACACCACTAAGGCTCAGTGTCATGCAGAACCCTAAAGAACCAGTTTTGGATGAGTAGAATGACAGGGTTGTCTGCAGCTGTAGGTGCAGCTGATAAGCATCTAACGTGTCGGAAGTCTTCATCTCACCCAGCTCTATCGCAATACCCTTAAGTTGCAGGGATTCCTCATTCTTCCTGTCCAACACCAGGTTCAGCTGCAGAAAGCCCTGGTAATCAAACTACTATCTTCTCTAGCACATGCTCCTTTAGGGGGCAGGGGGAGAAAGCAGGAATCTAGCCTACAAAAGGCGATGCAAAGAAGGAGGGAAGGACATGAGGCAGCAGCACTAAGTAATGGGAAAGTGATGATGCAGAGAGAGATCACACATATACGCATAGTTATATATACCTCTGTTGTTCTATTCACCACCATCTAGGTTAACACATTTGGAAGCAAAGAGGAGGAAAAAATGAACGGTTAGTTCACTATTGGTGACATGGATTGCAGAAAGCTCATGACCGCTAAGTACATGAGGATGGAAGCTCTGATGAAGCACAATAGGCACAGAAAGAAAGCTAGACTGAATGAAGGGCTCCGCAATGACCTAGTCCACTTGCCGCACTTCCTCCATGGAGACTTCCAAATAACACACATCAAGGCCGTGCGAATTTGGGGCTGTGGCTCTGTCCCCTGCTGGGGTGCTGTCCACAGCTGGTCCACACCCAGTGCACTGCTTGGCATCTTAGATATCAGCCAGAGGTTTATTTGTGCACCCTATCTTAAGCATCTTGCAATTTTTCACCTAATGGAATGTAAATGACAAGGGAGGAAACTATGAGATGCATTTATCTGATGCATCAATTTCTTTGGAGGCGGCCTCCCCTTGAGCACACCCAGGGCCATATCCGTGGTTATCTCCTAGCTTTTCATGTTAAGGGAGAGTGTGCCTCCTGTGGGCCACCTGGATAACCATTTTGACCTGCTTCAGTAGAGTCCAATGTTTGGCATAAGCTTGCCAATGGGGACACCTGGCATCCTCACAGGATGTGTGCCTAACCCAGGAGCGGTGCATGAGAGCCGGGAGCCTCGTCCCCACCTTTGACTCCACGTCTGCGTTGTTGTCATTCTGCAGCAGAAGGGCGGCGGCTTTCGTGTCATCTTTGCGGGCAGCAATGTGAAGAGCTGGAAGACGCACTTTCCCTTTTGTATCATTTTCTAGCAGGAGGGAAACTACTTGGTCGTGACCTTGCTGCAATGCGACTGCCAATGGGGTGAAGCCGTCCTGCAAATAAACGATTGGGTCAAGACAGGTTCCAATGGTGTATTTTTTTCTTTATTAAATTAGCAAACAAGAAGTTTGCTTTTGGTTATGAAAGCTAATAATATAAGCAAAAGTACATATAAGCAAAAACACATTCTATACTATACTATACACAAAGATGTGTCAAAAAGTTCATGAACAATTCATATTATCTCTTCATCCAATTTTTCCACAAATTTTTGAAGTCCTCTTATACAGAACCAAAATCATAAAAATTAGAAATCTGTTAAATGCATCTGTCATTTTTTTCCCCTGTTAAACAGTAGTATCCATCCATGGGTGAAATTTTGAAAAACACATAAAAGTAATACATGCAAAGAAAAAGATGCCAGATCTTCAATACCCATAAAATCATCTCAGTGAAAACAATAACACTTCAGGTTAACCCAGGAAAATTTTTCAAAGACTATCATTTAAATAAAAATGTAAAAACCGCTACTGACATTTTAAAGCTGGGGTATACCTGTCTGGTTAATGACTCTACCTTGTCGCCTAACATGTATCTGGTGAGCAATCTGTTTTCTATGGTGAGAGCATTTGGAAATTATTCTCTTAGCAATTTTGAAATGGGCAATACACTGCTAATTTTTAAAGTATTTATTTATTTGTTTGAAAGGCAGATATTCAGAGAAACAGACAGAGAGAGGCGGAAAGAGAGAGAGAAAGAGAGAGAGAGAGAGAAAGAGAGAGAGAGAGAAAGAGAGAGAGAGAGATATCCCTACTTGCTGGTTCACTCCCTAAATGCTTACAATGGCTGGGGCTGGGCCAGGCCTGAATCCAGGAGCTGGGAACATAACCCAGCTTTCCTACATGGGTAGAGCAGGAACCAAATTACTTTAAGTCATCACCACTGCCTCTCAGGGTCTATACTGGCAAAAAGCTGTAATTAAGACAGAGCAAAGAATTGAACCAAGGTACTATGATGTAGGGTCCAGGGATCTCAATCACCAGGTGAAACACCCCTTCTTACAAAACACCATTATTAACTATATTTCCCACGCTGTAGAATCAATCTCAAACTAAAAGATGTATTGCTCCTGTCTAATTGAGCCCTTGAACTCTTGGTCCAATATCTACCTGCTCTTGCCATTCTACCTCTACCCCTAACCTCTGGTAACCACCACTCAAGTCTCTTCTCTGACTTGCATTAAAACATGACTTTAGAATAAATTCAGAGGTAAGCACATGCACACTTCCTCTACATTTTGAATCTTTCCTTTGCATTACCCTAGGGCTCGAAGGAAACAGGGACAGACTTCACTGTGGTTAATTTATTTGTGGATGATCAGTGTTGCTGAATGTAGAATAAACAGCACAGAGCAGACAGTCCTAAGGCTGGCTTTTGAAATTTCATTCTGCAATTGTTTCATGATTATGTACTCAAAACATTTAAAATTATTTTTACTGAAGAGTTGGCAAGGAAATCACTTATTTTATTTGGGTCATGATATTTTACTTCTGCAGTCCTGTGGTTCAAATAGAGGCCAAATCTAGCAGAAGAGCATTTGGAAGGGAGCAGATGCCCGATTCCTTGCATATGAATGTCTTGTTGGTCTTCCTCAAACAGAACTTCTATCATTCTGTCCCTTGCTGTAAAATAGATCAGGTCGCCTATAGTTTATTTGACTGAATGCAAATCAGCAGACTTGTAATTATGGATGTCCAACGTATTGTCCCAAAGCACTTAAAGGATAATGTTTGTGGGATTGTGTTGTGGTGTAGCAGGTTAAGCCATAGCTTGTGATGCCAGTATCTCACATCAAAGCACCAGTTCTAGTCCCAGCTGCTCTGCTTCCAATTCAACTTCCTGTTAATGCACCTGGGAAGGTCAGCTGAAGCTGACCCAAGCACTTGGACCCTGCCATCTATGTGGGAGACATGAATGGAGATCCTGGCTCCTGGCTTCAGACTGGCTTAGACCTAACTGTTACAGCCATTTGGGGAGTAAGGGCGGATGGGCTTTCTTTCTAACTCCCTCTCTTTCTGCCTTTCACATACATAAACAACTCTTGAAAACAAGTGATGATGTTGGTTTGTCTCTTTCTATATAACCCTCCTCCCACCCTGACTCCTTACTAACTACGGACACACAGGCTAACTCTTCTGTCATCTATACTCATGCTATTTCCCGACCCTGAAATGTCCCCTCCTCTTCGCCCTGCACTTACAAATCCTAGCTACATCTCATGCTTCAAGACTGGGCTTTAGTGCAACCTGCTCCTCTGGATTCTAACTACCCAAGAAGACAGAAAAGAAAAGGACAGACACCAACATAATCAGAAAGACATTTTCCTGCCACAACCTGGGACATGAAGGCCATACGGGTTAGGATGATTTCCCCTGAGGAGAAACGAGTCTATGCAACAATGTAGATATATGACTTCATTCTCATGAAGACAAACACATATGTGTACTGTGTTCTTGTTCAAAAAAATCTGGAAGAATTAACAAAATGTCATCTCTAAGAAAAATGTAATGATATTTCCTTTTTATTGTATTTTCTCACTTATATAATGTATTACTTTTGGAAAAAATCAAATACACAATTTTTAATGGAGAGAGTGGTAAAAGGAAAATTGTGTAAGACTTAACTTTGCATCTCACTTCTAAAAACAACACAAATCTAAGGGTAAAAATGACAGCCCATTTCTGTTTTGAGTTAACGCAAAATGACTACATTTCAAAAGTGAATGTTTAAAATAATAGAGCCTATAGATAAAGGAAATTCCTTTGATTCAGAAAGTGAACTGCAACTGAGTAGATCAGCAATGGCCAGAGCAAGCCAATTAGAGACAAAGGTACCGCGGTGTTAATAACTAAGATTGGCAGCTCTAGATTCCGTTTCAAAGCCAACTTTACAGAGTTGATTTGCTTTGTCCAGCAGTTCTTAAGCAAAATTTACAAACAGAAAGGAAATGTGATTGAAGTTACACGAAAACAAAGTCCCTACCCCAGTTGCTCAAAAACACACCTTCACTGCCCTGTGGATTGTCTGACACTTGAGTGGTGATTCATAATTACTTGTGGAGTAAACACAAATTTTTTTCCTCATGCTTCAGAATCTTAATTAGTAGAAGAAGATATAAAGGGAAAAGACATGATATGTAGTACATAGTAATATAAAAGTGTAAAACTACAATTATGCCAAAGACTTGATACATACACAAGGTGTGAAGCATGGCATGCTCACTGAACGTGACACGTGTGAAAGGACTTGGCATACCACGTCATTTAGTAAATTAAAAGCTGGGACCCTTTTATTGCCCCCATAGTTTGTTCTGCAAATACCTACTTTTGTGTAAATGACATTGCTCATTGCTAATAAAAAGGGTAGCAGTGGGAATATAACAGGAATAAAATACCTAAGTTCTCCTTGAGATTCCATGCTCTAACACTAGTAACCCAAAAAGAGAAAAAATTCAGTCAAAGGTTCAAATGTCTTCAGGTAGTCAGATGTTGTTTCTACAGGAATGGAATAGCAGCCCTCATGAAGATGTGGATGTGACATTATTGTTGTTTTTCCTCTTAAAACTACTAAAGTGGCAACATGACATTAAACTCATCAGAAGGAGTCAAAATATGTTTCAGTATATCCTTTGCCAAAAGAAGGAATTCGCTATTCATTTTTCACATTCAGCTAGTTGCAGCACTCCTTTGTGGACCTTGAAGACTTCATGGAAAATGCAGGATGCAGTGAGTTTTTGGTGATTAATTTGCAAACTAATTCAATTCTGTTAGCAGTAAGTGGGTTTTATGCTTCCTTCTAGAAGAGATCCCTAATGGTCTGTACATCAGAGAAAAGGAAAACTGCCTAACCACCACCAAGAAGGCAATGGGTATTACTTGGTATGTCCATAGATAGCTAGGGTGGATTGTGTCTTTAACCAACAATCCATGCACGCCCTGTGCCAGTCCCCCCTATTCAGCTTGGTGCCACCCTTGTGTCGCATGTGGGGTACTGTTCTCAGACTGGCTACTCCTGAGTGTGAAGAGAGGGAGCACAGTGTGCCTGTACATGTGTGTTCCAACAGCAACCAGCCGTTATTTTCTTAGCTAATTCTAAAAACACTATCATAAAAATAATACAAGTCAATTCTCATGATAAAAATCCCGATAGTGTCAAAGGGTGAAGAATGGAAAAAACTGCCTCCCCTAATCCTCAGAGCAAATCAGGAACAACACACAAAGGACATTTTCCTGTATCAGTAACACAGTCTTCACTCATTTTTAATAATACTTAGGGTGGCATTTTATTGTGTAAGTATATTAATACTGATTAAAAAGGCACCTCACTGATGCATCATTAGGTTCTTAGCTTTTAGAAGTGGCTGCTTATATTAATGTACATTCTTATACAGTATATGTACTTCTATGTTCTTTATATTCTATACTGTATATGCTTATGAATAAAACATGAATCTTCAAAGTGGAATTGCTAATTAAAAAGACATGGAGATATCAGTTTTTGATAGTTACTGCCAAATGCTCTGCAACCAATTACCAGCTTCACTAATATTTTAGAAAAGTTCTGGCTTCTTCTCTACCAGTTTTTTTCTTATCTCTTAGGCAAAAGACTGGATCTCATTTTTTATCTGAATAATAAATTTGGATTTGACTTTGAATGAGGGTGAGAATATTTTTATATACCTAGGGTCATTTATAGTTCTTCTGGTGCTCACAGTCTATTCATTCATTTAGCAGTTGCCCTGGAAGGCCTAACCTGAGAAGCTGAATTTTCTATGCAATTCCTCTATGGCCATTTTCCCTGTGCCTTTCAGGAAGCACAGTAGAATACAAGTAAAGTAGGCTGGCGCCGCGGCTCACTAGGCTAATCCTCTGCCTTGCGGCGCCAGCACACCGGGTTCTAGTCCCGGTCAGGGCGCCGGATTCTGTCCCGGTTGCCCCTCTTCCAGGCCAGTTCTCTGCTGTGGCCAGGGAGTGCAGTGGAGGATGGCCCAAGTGCTTGGGCCCTGCACCCCATGGGAGACCAGAATAAGTACCTGGCTCCTGCCATCGGATCAGCGCGGTGCGCCGGCTGCAGCGTGCTGGCCGCGGCAGCCATTGGAGGGTGAACCAACGGCAAAGGAAGACCTTTCTCTCTCTCTCTCTCTCTTTCTCTCTCTGTCCACTCTTTCTGTCATAAAAATAAAATAAAAAAAAGAATACAAGTAAAGCTGTGCTATTTTGACAGGGATAATCCCGCATCTGCTCTAATTTACTGATTCGTTAAAAATACAGAATACCAAAATGAGGGTCCTTTATTAGTAGCAATAGATTTCTAGTGATATACTTAACAAGTGATCACAATCTTCCATCCATATTAATTTATTTTTTTAAAGAAGATTTAAAAGATTTACTTATTTGAAAGGCAGAGTAACGAGAGAAAGAGGTAGAATAGAGAGAAAAAGATCTTCCATCTGCTATTTCAGTCCTCAGATGACTGCAACAGCCAGGCCTGGGCCAAACAGAAGCTGGGAGAGTTCCATCCAGGTCTTCCCTATGGATGGCAGTGACCCAAGTACTTGAGCCATCATCTGCCTCTTCCCAGGCACATTGGTGGGGAGCTGTATCAGAAGCTGAGCAGCTGACACTGAGACTGGCGCTCTGATAGGAGTGTGGGAATTCCACAGCACCCACCCCATCCTCATTAAGTTTAAAAATAAACTACATTATCTAAGATATTATCAATCACTTATGTAACTTTCTATTTTGAATAATTCTACAAGACTGTCAAGCTTTAATGAAATACCACTTTTATTTAATACTTAGAAACACAGTTTATTTAGAAGTATGAATTAAATCTAATTAATTAACATTAGAAATAAATTCAATTGGGCATAATTAGGCTAAATTTGAAAAAGTCTTCTTAAAATTAAAGCTTAATTGAAAAAACACTTCAAAACAATGGTGGCCTCTGAGGCAAGAAAATAGGAGACAGAACAGTGTTCACAAGCAAATATGCTAAATATTAAAATAATACCTCAATTATAGGATAGAACCAGGCAATTAAGAGCAGAAAGGGTATCTTTGCCATGGAACATTAAGATTAAAAATAGACTATTTCATAAAAATGTTTTAACCCACACATGGATGCGCAGTTGCAACTGAAATACTAGAGAAACAAATTCTGAGCCTCAGATTTTTAAAATGCCCTATAAACATATGAATTTACCCATAGAAGAAAACAAAGTGTCCTACCTCAGTGGCAAGGCTCTGGCTTGCACCATTGTCAAGCAGAAACTTGACAACTTCCAGGTGGTTTTCCTGGGCGGCCATATACAATGGTGTGAAACCATTCTGCCAAAGAACAAACAAAATGTTAGTGCTATGCTCTAAGAAATGCTTACATATAATCATTGCAATAATATCTTAGTGCAAATATTCACATTTATTAGAAAATCCATGCACCATGGTTGAGCAAAATTCATAAGTATAATCATTATAGTTCATAATCCACAATTTGAAAGATCAAAGTTAATGTCTAAATACAATTTATAGCAATTTATCTGCTTTAGATAAATAATAATTCATTTACTCATCAGTCACTTACTGAGTAAAGGATTGTACTAGATGCCTTGAAGACATAAAAATAGCAGATTTGGTTTTTATTGCTCCTAACCATCAGTTATCTCTCTTAAATAAAAAAGAGCTAACATTTTCTCAGAAGAGCAGCTGAAGCAACTTTAACATAGAATCCAGTTGGTTGTTTTACATTGGTTTCCTTCCTTTGCAGTTTTTGCCAAGGTGCAGTATTTTTATGTTACGAACACATAATAGTCATACATACACATCCGTAAACACACATTCAGTATGTGTGTATGCACGTTTATCTAAAACATGCCTAGAATGCCCAAACACTTTGGATCCAAACAAAGAATGTGCTCATCACGCTTAAGTTTCTCATCAAAAATACGTTGCATTTGTGTGTTCTCCAGAAGGCCACGAAATGCTGTAATGTTTAAGACTCTTATTGTAAGATACAAATAGTAAAACAGGTATTTTCAAACTACAATAAATTCTCTTCGAATACATTTCTCAGAATACCATTCTGTTTAACTCAATGTTCTGGAATTTTACTGTGTACATTACTGTAATTCAAAAAGATTAAATATACTTTAAACAGCAACGTTATCAAATATCATTTAAACTTTTCTGATACAAAAGATTTTGACTCATCATTATAAATACCTAATTATCCATGACTACCTTATTTATCCAAGAAGTTAGCCTCTGGTGGCCTCGTGTTTTTTGCTTACACCTGAGAACTAGAGAGTAAGTTTAAATAATTCTTGGAACAGATACAACTGATGCCACCTGACAAATGATCCATGTGTATGGTTCTAATTAGGGAGTTCTATCCTACTTTAGTTTGCACACAAATGTCACAAGTTAGGTTATCTGGTTACCAAACTCAAGATGAGAGACTCAAAATTAGAGGCAGTAGGAGACAGCATAGTATTCAACCTTCTGCCTTATAATTATCTACCTGGTAATAATCTTTAAAGGCCACTATTATTTTATTATATCATGATAGGTTATATCAAGATTTAAACTGGAATAATTGTAACAGTGTGTGTGTGTGTGTGTGTGTGTCGGCCATCTTTGTCACTCTTCCCACAACTATGGGGAAAACGCAAAGGTGGTTTAGGATTACTCTCATCATGTTGACTCTCTTCTCATTTTCTTTCTTGATCACAATGAATGATTATTTAAACTTTTGTTAATTTAGATATACTTTAAGCAATAAAACAGAACAAAAATAATTTTTAAGGAAACTAGTGAAAATCAGCATGGCCTTTTCTCACAAATGAACTACTGAAAATTTCCCTTCCCTCAGCAAGTGCTCACTCTGGAAAAACAAAATTTCCAGAGGGCATGTTCAGATTGTAGGCATTACGTTTTTGTTGTTTTTACAATTTATTTACTTATTTGAAAGGTGGAGTTACAGAGAAGGAGAGGCAGAGGCAGAAAGAGAAGTCTTCCATCTGCTGGTTCACTCCCTAAATGGTTGCAACAGCCAGGGTTGGGCCAGGCCAGAGCCAGGAGCTTCTTCCAGGTCTCCCAAACAGGTGCAGGGGCCCAAACACTTGGGCCATCTTCTGCTGGCTTCCCAGGCGCATTAGCAGGGAGCTGGATCAGAACTGGAGCAGCTGGGACTTGAACTGGCGCCCATATGGGATGCAGGCACTGCAGATGGCAGCTTAACCCACTACACCAGAGCACTGGCCCCAGGCATTAAATTCTTAAAATCTCCAAATGCCTGTTCTCTCAGATATAAATTCCAACCACGTAAGTTACACTTGGTGGTTCTCCACTTCGCAGCAGGTCTGCTGGGGTCCAACACTGTCTAGGAGACTCTGGCCTACCCACACATAACTGGCTTCCAGCCCAGTACATGTCCACTGTTCTCGATATTGCCTTCCAGAATCAAGCATCACAACTCAGGAAGAAAGCCCAAAGTCAGGTACCCAGGTTTAAGGGAGTACTGTTCTTCCAGAACTGGAGATTCTAAAGAGCTATTCTTAAAAAGCACGATTCATTCCACATGCCTTTTTTAAGGTGGCAGAAACTGAGACATATGGAGTGGGATGACTTGGAAATAACATGTAGACAAAAGCCACAACAAGACGCAGCCTTGTTATCAGCGGTTTCCCATGATCACTTTTACCTTCTTTTTGAGTGCTTTTAATCCTAACTGTATCATAGAAAAGGGTCATTTTCTGAATGTTCATATCCTTATCTATTTTTAAAAATATTTATTAATCCATAATTCATACTCCATAATACTCACCCTTTTCACAATTCAGTGGATTTTGGTATATTTACAAAAGTAGGCAATCAACCCCATTATCTAATTCCGGAACATTTTCATCATTGTCCCCCAAAAAACATATGTATAAACACATATATAGGAATTAGTAGCCATTCACCATTTACCCTTTGTGTAACTCCCAGCAACCAATAATCCACTTTCTGTCACTATGGCCTTGCCTAGTTTGGACATTCCATATAAATGGAATCATACAGCCTGTAGCCTTTAAATGGTCTGATGTTATTTCTGCTATCTGTATTGAAAAAATATTTTTATTAGGCCTTCTACAATAAAAATTTCAATTTGATAACATCTGGGTGTGTGTATGTGTTTTTTGACTTAGTTTTGGTTAACCAGCATCCATTCCTATCTCTCCTTCACTTGACAATGACACTTGCACTTTGTTTTGGAGAACTACCTCTTCCTCATGATGTAGAGAGGACTTGTTTTGGTTGGACTTGCCATTTAACTACAGGTGGACAAGTGCAAGCTACCTTTTCTTTATTCTTTCAGGTCTACCCTTCGTCCTCACTTCTGTTCTCTGTCCAATTCCCTCTTCATCAGCCTTGACTGACAAGCAGGGACCATGGGAATGGGCCATCGCACTCTCTCTCCCAGCTAGTTTTTCCAGCTTCCAACCCAACTGTCTGGGTTCCAAAGCTCTCTGAAAAGCTTCATTAACCTTCCATTCTTTGTGATCCACCATCTAATTCCAACAAACTCCCCTTTGTGCTCAAATTGGTTTCTGTTCCTTCACTCCAAATGACACAAATTCATACAAATTTCACCTGTCACAAAAGGATCAAAATGTCATTAGAAGACACACACAAACACTAGTTAGTTATGATTTCAGGGAGAAAATAATTGTCCTTTGAAAAAAGTGAATAAAAATATTATCCCTACTCTCTAGCTCTCCAGATCAAAAGATTTATGGCATCCACAATAGACTTGTTACGGACAACCTATAGCCGTAAGGATTTTCTGTGAAACAGCACTTGGATCGGAAGAAAGGTCAGATTTGAGAATGCATATTTTTCTCGTAAGAGAAAAGAGCACACCACTGATTTTATATTAATTTTCTAGCTCAGGAAATTTCCAAAACAAAGCTGGCCAAAAAGGAACATACGGACAGCCCAATTTACATTTTCTTTTTGGTAGCAACAATAGATTCAGTTCTCAAAAGGCAGAGCAGCTTAAGATGGAGTGAGGATGCTATTTGAAGTACGATTTTATCTAAACTCTCCAATACCTTCTGCTCTGAATGTTCATAGTGGTGCTATTAAAAGCATGCAAATCTGCAGACATAATTTTATAGTTAGTTCTGAGGCAGGCTGCATCATGCCCACCAAAATAAAATAATAATTTCTCCTGTGCTTTAAGTAAGGGCTTAAATTTTCATCCATGAAATTTTCCAATCCATACTAGTTTTCTATGGGCAGCTTTTGCACATCATAAAGTGTTGGGTTTTTAAAAATAATCTGATTCTATTTAGAAGACAAATAAAATTACTGGTTTACTTCCTAATTGGCCACAACATCAAAAACCAAGTCATGTTGAAGCCAGGAGCTGGAAACTCTATCTTTGTCTTCCACGTGGGCACCAGGAACCTAACTACTTGAGCCATCACTGCTGTGTCGTAGGGAGCACATTAGCAGGAAGCTGGAAACGGGAGCAGAGAGGGGACTAGAATCCCATCATTCTGATATGGGATGTGGGCATCCTAAGCCGCATTTAACTGCTGTGCTGTACACCCGTCCCCAAAGTGCTGTTTTTAATTTAGACAGATGGGCAAAAGGAATGATTTGCATTTTGATTTCCATGACACTAATTTTCATGAAAGTCAGATAACACGAGGGATATGAAGTCAGAGAGGCTTTGTCTGAATCGTTCCTGTGTGACTTTCCTTAGATCCAACCTTCTCACCACAGGGAATACGCAGATATAAAGACCAAGATGGTACTCAAGGAGGCAGGGGCTGGCTTACTCACAGGGTCTTGCCATTGTTGATACCCCTCTGAATATCTGTGCATGTACCACACTCTGACAGTTCATCTGCCATTTCAAACACACTTTGCTTCTTTATAAATAGTTAGTGTTTAAGCCACAGAATGCAGAGAAGAGTGAGGAATGCCATTTGACTCAGCAGTTTGAGATTTTTCAGTAGCAATCATTAATTCTTGTTGATGTGTGAAGTACAACATATTATGGACTTTAATAGAATATCTTCTAACCACAATTTCATTATTTGACCCATTTCTGAGAGTGTATAACTGATTACTGAAGGGTTAAACAACATCAGAAAGATTTAACTAACTTGTTAAGACCTCAAACTTTATAATACAAAAATTACTTTATGCTCCTCTTCCAGTCCAGCTCTCTGCTGTGGCCCGGGAGGGCAGTGGAGGATGGCCCAAGTGCTTGGGCCCTGCACCCCATGGGAGACCAGGAAGAAGCACCTGGCTCCTGGCTTCGGATTGGCGTAGCTCTGGCCATAGCGGCCACGTTGGGGGTGAACCAATGGAAGGAAGACCTTTTTCTCTGTCTCTCTCTCTCACTGTCTAACTCTGTCAAAAAATAAAATAAAAAAAAAATAAAATCTATAAATTCCCAGTTTATATAGTCTATTTTTATAACCAGAACTTGATATTGTTAAATGCCACTTTTTTTTTTTTTTTTTTTGACATAGATGGAACGTAATCTCATATCACGAAAATCCTCACATAGCTGCTTCTTTGTAATGGTTCTGATTGGATGAGATGCTACCAGGAATTAGCACAGAAACTCCAGTACGACTGCATGACGCTTCTCATTACTCATCCTAGCTCGTGGGAATGATGTGCTTCCTAAGGGC